ACTACGCAAAAAGCGATGATCCAAACAATGTCATTGGGTATCTAGAGCGCTTCGTCCACAAAGGTCCCAACGGGAACCATGTGTGCCTTGTTTTTGGAAAGTCGGGGAAAGGGGCTGTTTCTGGCGGGGAGCGGGGCCCAGGCGCCGGGAGTTGATGAAATGTTTTTGATAATCACGGCCGGCGGTTGTGTTAATATAATTAACAGTGTTTACATGAAATATTGGGAGGTGTCCCAGATACGTTTTCATGTTTAGACTTTCTTGTCCCCCGTTTTTATTTCATGTGGCGAGTTTAGAGGTGTGGGGGTACTTTTCTCTCTCTTTATCTTTCTCTGGTGTTTTGGGCCAATGGGAATTGTGTGTGGAAGAAGAAGAGCGGAATTCTTCAGATGTACCAATCGCATGATGTTGATGACATGGCTAGATTATTTGAAATAGCCACCGGGGATCAAAGTGGCAGCCACAAGGCCGCTACTCGACTTACCGGGGACCGAATAAGGAACCCGCACGAAAAATATCGTCATAGTACAGGGCTATGGCTTGAATCGATGGTGAAGCCCCCTCCCTTTGTTTTCACCCTTTTCTTTTGGAGTGTCATGGGGGACTGGATGATGCAATATAACCCTTTGCAAATGTTCGTGGTCAGAGTCACTTTGCTGCCGGTACTAAAAATAAGTGTGGCTTTTTTTTACATTTACTATCACACATTGCATATTCGAGAAAGTTTAAAAAAAAAAGGTTTGGTAAGTGGTATGTATCTTCTCCCATTCTTTTAAGGCTGTGGTCGTTTGGATCATAGACCATCACTCGCGCACAACTCAATCTTCCAAGCGGAGTTCTTTTTTTTTGTTTAATTCATTAATTGCATACGGACTTCCGTCTATGGCAATATCATTCAAAGAGGAGTTCCTTCGTTATGCCAAATCTTTATTTGGTAGCGTAAAAAGAATTATTACTGAGGGAGTTATTTATCACTCTATTCCATCGCATTTGAGTATCTGTTCCCTGACAGTTACCTTGAATACAATACGAAGGCCCTAATGACAACTTCATTGGCCAGATAAGCTTAATCATACACATCATTTAACCCTTACTCCAGTCGTACCGCCAAGAACATAATACCTCACCCCCACCCCCCCTTTCAATTACTTGCATCTTGCAAATGTAGAAAGTTTCCCCTCTTCGCTACACCGTTAGGTGGGCCTTATAGCTGTATATCATATTAATCGTGGTTTCAAAACTTATTCACGGAGTAATCTATTATTAGATAACCTTATTAGGTCAGTTTGTTCCTATAATTCTGTCTCCGACTGAGTACGTCGATTCAACGAATTTCTTGTACTTCGTTGTGTTACACCTTCTCTTTGCACATGTAGTTCCACCCCACCACGTTCATGTAAGTCTAGATGCTGATAGTTGTCGATTATACCATGATTAGGGCTCTCTGTATTTTCCGGAGAGTTAAGAAATGCTTCTACGGGTCTTAAAGGTATTTCCTGAAGATGGGCAAGTAGAGGATCTAGAGATAAAAACGGGGATCCAGTTCCAGGCCTTGGTAAGACCAGACCAGGTGGCGGGCGCAAAACTGGAGCTATATTAACTAAAGGTTGAAAGTTGCTTGGTGAATTATCACCAATCGACTGGGTATTTTGTATTTCCAATAATCTAGGAACCGGTCCCGAATATGGTAATATATATTGTGAAGGTGTTCTACTCTCGTTTAGATGGCCTGGTTGGCCGTTTGGTATTTCTATTATTTGGCCTATAGCCTGGGGATGTGGTCGTAAACCCGGTGGAAATGGTCTGTTTCCATGAATTATTGGGTCACTAAACTGCCACTGTGCATCTCCACGGGGTCGTGCTCCGGGCACCCATCCTCTAGGATATCCTCCACTTAATGGAAAAGGTGGTTGATATGCAGGTAGACTAGACGCTACTCGACCTATCATAGACAGGGGTTCGGAAGGTAATATCGGCCCCCTAGGTAGACTAGGTGGTATAGAAGGCGCCACATGCCTTGTAGATATACTAGTTCTAGGTAGTATGGATGGTACTATCGGTACTTCAGATAGTCCAGGAGATATCTTCGTAGAACTAGATTGTTGAATCTGGAAAGGTTTGCGCGAGTTATTTTTATTTTTCCTTGCTATTTGATTTTTAGTTATACTAGGTTGTATAGAAGGTATCGGTACTCCAGGGAGTAGTCTTAATTCAGTCGAGAAGGGCACAAGCGATCGTGGTGATAACCCATGAATATACCCCATTAACCCAGGTGATGGTCCGGGTTGTGGTTGTGGCGGTTGTGGTAATGGGGGCAGTGGTAGCCCCCCTATCATTCCAGGTAAGGATGGAACTCCAAGTGCTTTTGAATCATATGGATGCTGTATCCCAGCTGTAAACGAGGATTGTGGCGCAGGTGTTTGTACCCCGTATGGATGCTGTACTCCAAATGTAGATTGGGATATAGGTGTTGGTATTCCACGTGAATGCAGCACTCCAGGTGGTGGGAAGAGTCCATATTGATTAATGTGCGGAGCCCTGGGTAGTTCCTCTAATGAATATACCATGCCTGACGGTGGTGGTGGTGTGAACTGTGAAAGTTCTCTGGGTCGAGATGCTGAATATGAGTCAGGTGGTTCTACCAAGAAAGATGATGAAAATGACATAGATGATATTTCCTGGCCAGAATTTTGAGCTGTTCCCTCTGGAGCTATAATATTCTGAGGATAGTCTAGCAGAAGGGATCGCTCAGGTGTAAATTGACGATTTTGCATGGGTGTCATATTAACTCGGGCTGATGACGTCCCGCTTACATTATCCACCAACCAGCTCGTGTTATAATTGATAATATCTTCAATCGGCCACTCTACCTCTTTGGGGCTTGTCGTTATAGGTAAGTCAAAATCTAATAGCTCCAGATCATCATTCAACAGCTCGTCCTCTTCACGCTCCCGACTCTCCTTTGAAACGGATCGGTTGGTGGATGGATTAGTGGATCGCTGTCTTAATGCACGTAGTCGGTCCAAACTTGAGCCAATTCCTGTAGTTACACTTTCCCGTTCTGATTTCGACCCATAACCAGAACCAACTAATTCAAGTTCCAAACATCCTGGTAGAGATTGTGTAGCCCTACCCATTGAGCTGGCTTCTAGTTGTTGCTGTTGCAGATTGCCCAACTGCAATTGGGACCTTGATGGCAGAGAGGGGGATACCGGGTTATGTTTTGCTCTACATAGATGGTCATATATATTAGATTGAATTCTTACAGGGTATAGCTCAGTTAAGGATACTTACAAGTAATTGAAATTTCCCGGATGTATAATCTGGCCGTTTATTCCATACGTTGGCTGTGAATATGATTGTATTATTTCAGGAAGCTCTGAGAATGAGGAATCGCTCGGTCTGTCCATTTCTTCATCTGTTGAAGCAGTGTTTAGGCTAAAAGGATCTGCCAGATGCGCTGATGGTATTGTTGGCGATTGAATAAACCGTTGAAGGGCGTAGTTTCCGGTAGGCCCAGAATTTGCAGAAGTGGAATCAAGATAGGCCAGGGCTCTGTCCAGTGATGTTGCTTTTATGGATTTTGGCACGAGATGAGGGTCCGGGACGCATAACAATTCATTTCTTGTAAGCAAATCCTCAAAATCGTTAGTGATAACGTCCTCTCCTATCCCATCTGTGTCCCCCCTGCCCCTGGGCCTGCCTAAATCGCAGTCTGGTGAGATTTCTTGATCTGTTGTGACTTCTTGACCATCGTCCTGTGACCCTTCGCCCTCAGGCCCTTCTGCTTGAGTAAACTTTCCACGGCGAAGGAAAGGGTCTCGATTTGCCATGTGCTCTAGTTAATCCGAGATTTCCAGAGAAAAGAAGAGATTAATAAATAACAGAGAAGGTTTTGAATCGTGATTGATATGGCTCAGCTTATCCTACAGAGGAACCTTCACAAGGTGAGATATATCGGGCACAAGATTATAAAAATACTTAAGATCCTCAGTGATGGCAAAGAAGAAAGAGACTTGCTTGTTCCAAAGAAAGTCGAACTAGAGCATCACGGAAAGGCCAGACTTTTGTTTGTGCTGGGATATTCTCATATACGTACATATGGCATACGATATGCGTGGCACTTGCTAATAGTAACCAAGTAGTACATGCACTGATACTTTATAGGAACTAGAAGCAAGGGCCTCAGATTTTACCGCTAAATTGAGACAATTGTGGCTTTATTTCTTTTAGAACGGACCTTTGTGTAGAATAATAAGAGGCTAGTACATGTAGAGTACATACATGTACTCCACACGCACCTTTCGCATGGTAGCGCTATACGCTAGCATCACCGATGACGAGGAGGAGGAGGAGGAACCTGGCCCACTCACAACCAGTTGCAACTCTCTGACACACAGCAAACGGCACAATCATCGACGAGATCATTATACAAGGGCACCAAAAGTACAAAGATCACCGGACGTTACCAAGAATGGACATGGCCTCGTGGGCATGGCACCATCACAACAAAACCTAGCCGTAATAGTTACAAGCCGAGCTGGACATATAAGGATACGGAGAACGACTTAATCCAGGCGTGGGTCTGCTTGGGAAGAATAGTGAAAAAGATAGGGAGGCACGCGGTACAAGGAAAAAAATTGTTCGTAGAGACACCACAAATGGGTTTAAGGGGGATGATACGTCCCACGTTACCAGGGAGGGGAAATTTCACAAGAATTGAGTTCAGGAAGACAGAGTAGGGATTGTTTATTGTTATTTAAATTTCTTTTCTTTTTGTTAGGAAGCGGCGGTAGTTCTGGGGTTGCGATATTGCCATAGGCTACGGTCTGCATGCAATTAATGAGTTAAACAAAAAATAAAAGCTATACGCTAGCATGGGTTTACTCACTCTTATGCTCAATGGAGTTTAGCAGTTTAGATAGATCGATGATCCCTGAAACATTTCAGTGCACTAATCATTTCTCGAAAAAAGCACGCACAGTAACAGGTTTTCCCATGGTTCTGTGGCGTAGTGGAGGCGCGTCTGCTTTACAGAAGTTCGCAGAAGGTCGCAGGTTCGAACCCTGCCAGAATCAAGTTCATACAGTGCTATAATTATTTTTGCTTCCTTAATTGATCGTCTGTGGATGGTCCATGATGAAGCTGGGACCAATATATTGGGCGACTTCAGAAGATGTTTAGAAGCGGTTTGGATGGAATTTTAGAGTAATGAAATCTGGATGGAAACGCTCCAGATTCAGAATCTGAATGGGGAGGGGAGGGGGGTACGATCAGATTTCTAAATCTTGAAAATTTGAAAGAGCGAAGTACGGTTGGTTAAGAAAGGTTCCGGGTAGGTCCTGGTGTTACGCACTAAACGAAATCAGTACTAGTTAAAAATCTAGAAAATATTGTTTGCCATGGGAAGGCATTTGCACCCAGATTCAGAAATTTATTTCCTAAACGCCTTCCAAATTTTCACGGGAAGTCGCCCATTATGGCCGGAACCGAGTTTCTTGTAAGGCTCATAAAATTATCAAATCCGTAGAGAAGATACGTTTTACGGGGCCCCATAAACCTAAATATATTGCGCGTTATCAAGATTATCTGAACATTGTTGCAACCATATTTTCCCATTTCAACCTCGCCTTCCTCCACAACCACAAGGAGAGGGTATACAAGAGATTTAATTCTTACGATTTCTTATTATGCCACTATTCACTTAAGTTTCAAATATAAGCTCAATTGAAGTGGGTTCACATTTTGGTTATTTTAGCCAAGTTGCGAGGTGAGCGTCCGGATAATTTGATACACCACAATACCTTTCAGAGGCAATATTTTTAATACTCGATCTTGTTTGCAAGTTCCAGCTCCCCACAAACTCCAGCTCCTCCCACAAGCTATGTCCTCCAGTAACTGACTCCGGTATACCGTGTGTCTTTTCACCGAGTCCCGAGCTCACCAAGCGACAAATAACCCTTGCGAATTTCGGTTTTAGCGTAGTCTCAGAATTGAAATTGAGCCTCCCCTTAATATCATATGATGCTCACGCCCGACGACCGCAGGAACTAGCGCTTGCTATGTTCCAGTCGACCTCTAGCAATCTTCGTCCTCGCGGCGGTTCGTATGATAAGCTATCATTGGTACGTATCATTACATGTAACCAGCACCATGTAACAAGGTGAGACTTCATGGCGCTGTGGTCTCAAGTATCTCAACCATTTATCTAGAATTAAGCCAAAAAAAAAATGAAATACCAACAATCATCCGAGTCACCGTCGAGTGACAGCCTATGATCATTAAACCGGTCCGGTGTATCCGTAATCCTTGCATGTTCCACCCAACCAGCCACAAGCGCCACCACTGACGATCCCCAATGCACCACATCGTGACAACCGATTAGTCAGTCCGGTCGAGCTGTCGATCGTTGTGACTGCTGTCACTCGTTTCCGGGTGAAAGTGCTCTCGGACCAGTCGCTGGCTGAGGAGTATTTGAAACATTCGTGCGGGGTAGTTTGAGCCTAGAACTCATGTGTAGGCTAGTATCTCACATATCAAAGTATATTGTCGTCTCGTGATCATAGCTTATGATAAGCTGATAGTCAGCCATCAATTTTATTTGCTGAAGTAACGGGCACAAGACTAGTGAGACAGTTTTGCCGTCAGTGTTACTTCTAGATTAAGGGACTCGGATATCTGACTAGACTCACCATCGAGTAATTGAACCCCCCTTTAGAAGCGGGAATATCAAAGGCAATAGTAGTGCGAGAGTGGAAGTGTATGTAAGTAGAAACGAGATTTATTCCTATAATTTTTTTTTGTTCTCCAAACACCCATCATCCCAAAGAAAATCCGTGAAATAACTAAAATTGAGGAAAGAAACGATCCAATGCAGAAAACAAACTCCAGAGCAATGTCAAACAAAAAATGGGTACAAGAATTAAATCGCATCCGACTAGGAAAGAAGACAATCAATGCAGTAAAACAATCAGCCACCCTCGAAAGACTAAATAGAGAATGAAAAATAGTATCTAAAATGCTCAAGCAAACAGGTGCAAAAGATCATCGAATGACCACGGATTCGCCTCTTCGGACCTTGGTAGTTCTGGTAGTCTCCCTCTCGTCCCTGTGCCTGATCTCCTTCTCATCTCTCTTTACTCTCTCCTTCCATTCCTTATCCTCAAACTTCCTTCTCTTCTCATCTGCCTTTACCCTCGCCTTGTAAGCATCATGTTCATCTTTTGCGTTTCCAGTAGCCTTCGCGACAATAGACAGTTTGTGTGCTTTCTCCTCGGCTCGAATCGCCTTTTCCTCCGCTCTGCTCAAGCTATCTTGTGGCAATGGAAAAGAAGGTGTTGTGTATGTTGTCTTGGTCTTCGTCGCTCCATGAGATTTACCGATGATTGGGATAAGAATAGGTTCTTCGGTTGTGGTAGTAGTAGTAGTTGTGGTGACATGTGAAAATGAATTTTGGCCCTGGTTGAGATGTGCAATGTTCTCAGATGTTATAGGGGTTGTTGGGCGCTCTCCGGTGTAGTGGTGGACGACTCGCTGCTCAGTAATGACCGGAGGGGGAGTAGGAGCGTATGGGATAGGGTCGTGAATTATTGCCTTATGGTTGAATGATACTGATTTCCCGGATCCACTACGACGACCTATGGGTAGGAAGTTAGCTTTCATTCAGTTGTGAGAGGGGGCTCTCAGGGTAGGAAAGAGAGAAATACAGTGGACTCACGTCGGATCTCCCCAGTTAGATCCACCAATCGTTCAATCTCAGTTCTATCAAGTGCTCTCAGCACGACAAGAGCTCCGTCGGATTCCTCAGACCATGGAAGGCCCATTTCCTCGACTGCCTCCTTGCTGACTAGCCTGTGTGGGAACCTAGTGCGTCCCCTACGTCCAACGTCGGAGCCAACGGAACCGACCTCCAGAGACTCGTCGTTAAAGTGCTCGATGGCATGGTGGTATTTAGTGTAGCCGCTGCGGGACCTAGAGGCCGAACGGTGACGATCAATAGAGGATGCTGGAACAATCAAGGTCTGCGCGGAACGGTCAGAGCGGTATCCTCGATGCTGAGCCAAAGGGGCCGAGAGCGGGCCTGGACCACCACCCTGGCGAATGATCAGAGGGGCTGGGCGGCCTCGATCATGGTGGCCGTCTATGTTGTGGTGGCCATCCATGTGGCGGCCATCGGAGTGGCGGCCCTCGGAGTGAGTGGAAAGGCGCCTAGTGCGGGTGCAGACACGCTCAGTCTGGTCTAATTGGGTCCCCGAGCCAGACCATGGGGTGTTGAGAGGAAGAGAAGAATCGCATGATGAGCATGTAGAGTCTGCTGGGGATGGGGGTCTAACGGGAACGAGAATCTGAGTTCGTGGAGGAGAACGACCGAGGTTCAGGCCTCCAGTGGAGTTCCTGTAAGGGTTCTGGGCTGCGTAGTAGCTCATTTTGGGTCTATCTGGGGAATGTCTTGGGTCCTTAATGGTTACTGATTTGTAGAGATAAGCTGGTTATACAACTGAGTATGAGTGATATAGTATGATGGAGTTTGAAGATGCTGCTGGATGATGGGCAGAAAGAAAGCTCGAAAGGGTGGGAGAGGAGAAGTTTTATATACCTTCACCATCGCCCTCCCCGCCTCCCCCAACACCATTTCCTAGCTACGGGAGCTACATCTGGTGTGACAAGCAGGATTTCCCCATGACATTGGTGTTTCACTCAAGACACCACTCAGCATCCTGGGTTCTGTCCGGGAAAAAAGAGGGTGTGCTGCCTGTGGCTGGGCGGTCTGTGTCAACAAAACCGAGTGACGGAACGAGGCTTGCAGGGACCACTGCCGGCCGCATTACGCCCACTACGCCATAGGGTCTGGGGTATCATGAAAATAACAGAAAAAAATAACGCAATTTTTCTATTGTGCGGGCCATTTAGAAAGCTACATACCCCAGAGTAGTCACTTTAGCTAGTGGTGCTGAACAAGCGATCCAGAAATCCAAGCCCAGAGTCATCCACTGGGTTGGAAGCCTAGAATAGACCGGCAATCTGGCATGTCTGGCCGTTTTCTCAACGATATCAAGGAAAGTCACCATTCCCTGTGATGCAAAAACGCACGGGCTGGTATGTCTCGGTCTACCTGAACCCCCCCAGGGTACTAGAATCGGTTCGACAATGATGATTGATGAGTTGGCAATCCCCCAATTCTGCATGTCTGCATGTCGCCTGTATGTACGGAGGGCGGCCGAAAAGCGTCAGCAAGAACCAGGCAATGGTGGATGCGCAGGTAGAGTGAGCGGTAGGGGAGGGGGTTGAGTAGTCGATCGCTGTAACCTCGAAATTCTAGTCTTAGATCTTGCAGGTTTGCCTTGGAAGTTCAGTTGAGGCCCTGGCTAGCGCCCGTGCGCCGAGAAGGAAAGATAACGCCAAGGTTGATAATCTCATGACGTCACTTTCATCATTATCTCATTTATAGTGTGACAAGCTTTATCCTAACCTTACATGTAGTTACGCATCCCCTGTCTATCCGCTTCGGCAGCGGACCTCAAGCCTCAAGAGTCAAGGGTCTAAGCCAGGGTCGCCAGGGTCTCCGCGGTCCGCGAAGTAAACAATAAAAGTAAACATAAACGCACATAAAATCTAAGCCCCCGTTTCATCACGAAACGGAGGCTCATAAATTGCCGGAGATGTTCGCATCACGTGAGTATAAAGGGCTGACTGCAGAGAAGATCCAATGCCAGCTCAGCCGTTTTGGCGTACAGAAAGCATACCTTTCCTTTAGGGACCTTCTCCGATAGAAACACAGCCTTCACAATGAGATCATGGCTAGTTGGGTCCGTTCCAAACAGCAGAAACACATGTATCGTGAGGTTTGAAATCCTTCAATTTGACAGGTGAAATATACGGATTGGGCTAGGCACTATCACGAATTTGACTGACTTTGCACAACATCCTCTGTCCCGATGCTGCAAGTCTACATGGAAGCCATATACTCAACCAAGGTTGAACTAAGGTTTTCGTTTCGATCTGGATGACCGAATCTCAGCCCGCACTACTAGTACAAGGACGCGAGCAGGGATCCCATGCCCGGAATAGAATAGCCCGC